CCTGAATGCCTTGGCACATTCCTCCGTCCATGTAATGTACTTCTTATTTCCCTTGAGTGCTTTGAAGAAAGGAGCACATCTGTCTGTGGCCTTAGAGATGAATCTAGTTAAGGCTGCCACCTTGCCAGTAAGGCTTTGGATGTCTTTTGAAGTTATTGGCTCTTTCATGTCGAGGATTGCTTTGATCTTTTCAGGGTTAGCTTCAATGCCTCGTTGGCTAATCATGAAGCCTAAGAATTTGCCAGAGCCCACGCCGAAGGCACATTTGTTGGGGTTCAACCTCATTCGATACCTCTTTAGAATGGTGAAAGTTTCAGATAGGTTGGTGATGTGTTGGTCAGCATGTTTGCTTTTGACTAGCATATCATCAACGTAAACTTCCATTGCTCTTCCCAATTTGTTCGGCGAACATTGAATTGACCAGTCTCTGATAAGTTGCTCCTACATTCTTTAGGCCGAAAGGCATGACTTTATAGCAATATAGTCCCCTGTCAGTAGTGAAGGCCGTGTGTTCTTGGTCTGAGGGGTTCATGAGGATTTGGTTGTATCCTGAATAAGCGTCCATGAAGCTCAAGAGCTCACACCCTGCCATAGAGTCTATAAGTCTATCAATGAGAGGAAGGGGGAAACTATCCTTCGGGCATCCTTTGTTTAGGTCAGTGTAGTCGACACACATTCTCCACAAGACCTTTTGAAGCAGGAGACTTTCCTTGGTCGGATTTTTCTTAACAAGGACAACATTTGCTACCCATGTTGGGTAATTGACTTCACAGACGAAGCCTATGTCCTTGAGTTTTTCAACTTCTACTTTCATCGCCTCGTATCGTTCAACATCATAAGATCTTCGCTTCTCTGTTTTACTGGTTTGGTCTTGGGATCAATACTCAAGTGGTGACAGATGATATCGGGAGAGATGCCCGGCATATCTTTATATGACCAAGCGAAGACCTCGGCGTTCTCTTGTAAAAAGGAGATCAGCGACAACCGAAGGGGTGGTGACAAAGTGGTGCCAATATTCACCATGCGGTCTGGATGGTCTTTGGAGATAGAGACCTTCTCTAACTCTTCAGCGGGTTGTGCTTGCTGGGTGAATGAGTCATCTCGAGGGTCGTCGGGTTGACTGTTGCCATCCTGAAGACCCGAGTTGGATTCATCTGGACTGGTCTTTACGACTTGGTTATGTATAAAGAGAGTCTCTTTGGGGATAGGCAGGTGTTGTTGTTTGACTGAAGTGTTGTAACATGATCGAGCACTAAGTTGATCTCCCCTGATGTACCCATTGCCGAAAGGGGTTGGAAACTTCATCAACAACATATGTGTGGATACCGTGGCCTTGAGATCATTGATGCCTGTGCGCCCAAAGATGACATTGTATGTCGTCGGGCAGTTGACCACTAGGAAGTTAGTGGTAATAGTAGCCGTGTAGGGGCATGTACCAATGGTGAAGGGTAAGTGTATACTCCCTAAAGGTTGCACGATATCGCCAGAGAAGCTTATCAGAGGAGAAATCGAGCGATCGAGCAAGTGTTCAGCTACATTAAGTGCCTTGAAAGCTTCAGCAAACATGATATTGACTGAAGCACCTGTGTCTATCAGAATTCGTTTCACATCAAAATTTGCTATGTGAGCTTCCACGATCAGCGGGTCATTGTGAGGGTAGATGATACCTCTTTCTTCCTCAGGGTAGAAACATATTGGATCCCAGTTAGGCTTTTGATACTTGCCTCCTCTGATATCTTCCACGTGAAACACTTGATGGCCAGGTCTCAAAGTTCGTTCACTGCTTTTCATGGCCCTATTGGAAGATTCAGACATGGGTGTGCCGCCGCTTATGGAATATATCACATTCACCTGGCGTTGGTTACGGTTATCCCTTGGATGGTGAAGGAGGAACTGATCAATTTTTCCTTCACGTGCCAAAGCTTCAATATGGTCACGGAGGATAATGCAGCACCTCTCACTATCATGGCCATTATACTCGTGGTAGCAGCAAAACATGCCTGTGTTCTTCGTGGACTTGTAACCTGGCTGTCTTGGCTTTGGCTTTGGTATCAGGTGAGCTATACTGGGGTAGATCGCAGCACATGTAGCATTCAAAGAGGTGTATGTCTCATACCTCGGGGTAGGGCCTGTCTTGACACGTGATTGGCCCACTGCGTTGACTGCCTGGGGGCGGGCATTATTGTGACAATATCCTGAGTTATCGCGATAGTGCCCCTTATTCTTTTTATTAAAATGAGATTGGTGAGGATGGAAGTCTTTCCTTTTGCCCTGAGATTGATATGTCTGCTGACTTGGCGAAGCATTAAATGAGGCAGGGGGGTGTGCTGCTACCATTTGGAAGGTTGAGGTCTTTTCATTCGGTTGGATCTGGCCTTCACTCCCTACTTGCTGATAAGGGGTCACTGTAGGGGGTTTCCCTTGATATGTCCTTGCCTCGGCGGAGGCATGGTTGAAAGCTTGTGTCATCACCTCACAGTAAGTCTTCCAAGTGTTGGCATTGATCATGTACTTGAAGAAACAGTCACGTAAGCCTGCAGTGAAAGCCTTAAGGGCGGTCTTGTCATCTGCCTCAACGCAGCGAGAATACTCATGGCTGAAGCGGCCAGCGTACTTTCGTAATGACTCGTCCGGCTTCTGGCGAATAGTGTACAAGTCATCTGCGGAATGCAAGCGATCGGTCTGGAAAATGTGTTGAGAGACAAACAGCTTTCTCAACTCTTCAAATGAGTCTACTGTCTCAGGTGGAAGACGGCAATACCAGTTTAAAGCTCCGCCAGAGAGGGTGGAGGGGAAGAGAAGGCACCGTTCTTTGTCGGTGTGTCCCCGGTATACCATGGTGGACTCAAAGAGGTTAAGGTGTTCAATCGGGTCTTCCCTTCCAGTATAGAGCTGTAAGTCAAGCTTCTGCTTTGTCTTCGCTTGGAGGGGAGTGTTGAGGATCTTTCTTGTGAGAGGGCCAGGCCTGGGTTGGTTCCAGTCAAGTATCTCGGCTTGACGTTCAGCCTTCAGCTTGTTTACTTCCTCAAGGAGCTGCAGGACAAGGGGGTCCTGAGCGGAGTCGTGCACCACCGAAGTTTTCTTCTTTAAGTCCCCATCGCCTCTTGAAAGTAGGAAAGTTTGATCAAGATAGCGTGATCTTTCTCTGGACTCGCCACACTGACTTCTAGAGTGAGTATGTCGGAATGTTTCCGAGTCCCCAGTACCTTCATATTCTTCTGGGACTTGTTGCCCCTTCTCTAGATTGGCGGCTGGCCTGGGTCGTGGAAGAGGACCGAGTCTTTTAGAAACCCTTGGGTCATTGATCTTCGAGCTTATGTGGATGGGATTCTCTCGACGTTGCTTTAGGAAGTCTCGACAATCGCGATAGACAGCTTTTGATCCTTCCACACCCTCTGTGAGGAGGTGTTTTCCTCTACTTCTCCTGCTTCAGGTTGAGAGAAGTCTCATGTTGATTATCACATTGATGTGTAGCTCGATCCCTATCAGGGATGTCCGTGTCGGATATCGGCGACCCTCCGTGTTGGGGGCATTCAGTTGATTGTTGACCTCGACAGGGGCGACGAGCTTGTGTGTTTGAGCCTGCCTAGCCTCGTGAAGCATCTCGAAAAGTTTTTCATATTGTTCTTGGAGGACTTCATTCTTCATCGCTATCTTGTTGTTCTGAACCTCTAGCTCATCGACTTTAGCTTGAAGAGTAACTCTATTTCCTTCCTGATTTCGTTGCTTCATACTAGGTCCAGCAGGGGAGTCATTCTGTGTGCTGTGGCTTCTTTCGCTCCCCATATCGGAGAGAGATGCTTGGCCAAAAGAGAGTGTACGAGCGGTGGAAACCAGCTTGACAAAGCTGAAGAAAGTGGGAATAAGTGTCGTTTCCCACAGACGGCGCCAAATGTTGATGCACAAAACCGGGACGGTCTTGGAACAACGTAAATCCGACCGTGAATCTGCACAAACGCTCAAGAACACGAAGAACACAAAGAACACAAGGATTTTATCGTGGTTTACCCCAATGTTTGGGCTACGTCCACACTGTAATTGATTCTGTTTCTCTGTAATTGTATGGATACAAGTGTTTGAGGGGAAGTCCCCCAGAGAGAGAAGAGAAGGGAGAGGAGAGCCTCGATGGTGTGAGGACTCTCTCTCAAGGCTTCTAGCCTTTGTTTTCAGCTCTAGCCCTTAGAAATGAGGACTTAAGACTTCTTTTAGAATGAGGGGGAGTCCCTTTTATAGAATAAGGGGCTCCTCCTCTTTTACATTTGTCGTGGGCTTAATGTGTGAGGCCCAAATACGAAGCCCAAGGCCCAAATACGAGGCCCAAATATATGGTACCAACAGGCCCGAAACTACTGAGCACCGGTCAACGTTATACCGTCAAGGACCTAGAAGAGCTTCCCTTCAACCAGGAGACCAATCACAATACGACATGTGTCGACATCAGAAGCCAATCACAGCTCGACACGTGTCAACATCAGAAGCCAATCACAACACGACACGTGTCGATGTTAGAACAAAACTAGAAACTCTCCTCTATAAATAGGGATCATTCTCCCACAATAATCTCTAATGTCATTTTGTACTAAACTATTCACTAGAACTCACAAAATGAGAGCTTGAACCTATGTATTTGTGTAAACCCTTCACAATTAATGAGAACTCCTCTACTCCGTGGACGTAGTCGATCTGGGTGAACCACGTACATCTTGTGTTTGCTTCTCTGTCCCTATTCATTTACGTACTTATCTTCACTAGTGATCGAAGCAACCAAGCGAAGGTCACAAACCTGATACTTTCTGTTGTACCAAAGTCCTCGCTGATTTTGTGCATCAACATTTGGCGCCGTCTGTGGGAATCGACATGAAAAGCTATGTCGGTTCTCTTTCATTTTTTTTCATCAAACCTCACAACCTCCACCGTGAATCTGCAAAATACAGCACCGCCTCTCCTGGATGCCCACTTCTCTCTCTGCCATTCTCAACCCCACAGAGCCAGAATCTCACCTCCATCCGCCATGTTCCGCCGCTAAATCCCCTGTGGGTTGGGGGCCAGAGACAAAGTGGAGCTCCTGTTAATTCAAGTTTAAAGAATTATAATGTACTGCAACCAGATTCGGAGAGAGGGCATGGGGGTCAGCCATACCATGTGCCTCATGGTTTGAAATTTTATGCAATCAAATGTGAGACCCGAGTTTGGCAGAGCCCAGTATCAAAATCAACTCAGAAGCCCAAGTGCACACACAGAGATCACATTCAAACCCAAACCCTATGGCTGAAACTCCATCCCAGACGCCGACGCCGCCGCGATCTGCGTCTGAGGCCGAGACGGAGACGATGGAGTACTGGTGCTACCAGTGCAACAAACGCGTCTCCATAAGGTTCTACAGGAAGTATTCAACAAGTTAAAAATTGAGAAGCATCTTGAAGTCAATAGGCTTGTTAACCTTGTGGAGCGAAGGAGTAAGGGTGGGTCAGAATCCACTACCCTCATCCTCTTCATCTTCTGCAACCCCCGGCCGGCTCCGAGCCATCCAACGAAGACTCCGCCTCCGTGCAAGAGAAGTTTGCGCCAGGAGCAGGAAGCCCTAGCGGCCGCGGCTCGTTCCCTCTCCGTCGACGAGCAGGACCTTCTCACTGCGAGCTACGGCGACGTCCCCCTCGAGCTCGAGCTCCAATCGAAGACGGCTGAGGACATCAGTCACTGGACCAAGGTTGGAAGCCTAACCAGTGCGTTGGAGAATCGGTCCGTGCTGATACGTGGCCGGGCGCATACGATTCGTGCCGTCGGGAAGAATATGGCGTTGGTTGTCGTCAGAGAAAGGGGGTTTACAGTGCAGTGCGTGGCGACGGTGCATCCTGACACCGTGAGCCGCCAGATGGTGAAGTATGTCGCTGGGTTGAGCAGAGACGCAGCAGGTGGAAGTTCAAATGAGGAAGTTATATTGTGTGAATAAGGCTGCTGTTTTTACCTATTAACATTGAGGATGCTGCTCGGAGTGATGTCGAAATCGAAAAGGCTTTGCAGGCCGGAGAAACACTCGTTCGAGTTAATCACTCACAGAGTTGGACGGGAAGGAGAAACAATCGAAAAGGCTGTAGCACATCCTGCCCTAACTATTAGTGGAACCCTGAGCCTTATTTGGGCCCCGCCACTTTGCTCCACTCCAATTGAGTTTGTTACAGCAGGATATTCCAATGGATGATAATCATCATCAAAAGGGCTTGGACAACAACAAAAAAACATTAGGTCTCCATCCACTTTTTCCCTGTCGACCGCCAATGTCGGGATAAAGATAAGGCATCTTCTTTCTTTATAAATAGTGTTTCATTATAATCGGCACTCACAAAAGCATAATTAATATATATATATATAGATATAATGATAGTTGGCATCACAAAAGCATTATTAGTATATGCCGTGCTTGTTGCTAGAAAGCATTATTAGTATATAATGATAGTTGGCATCACAACAGTATATAATGATGGTTGGCATCACAACAGCATATATATATATATATATAATGATAGTTGGCATCACAACAGTATATATATATATATATATATACTTGTTGCTAGAATGCAACCGCATATGCCGCGTGCTTGTGCTTTTATTAAATAATGCTGTTGTAAACTTAAGTCTGCTATGCACATACCAATATCAGTATGCGTAGTGCAATACAAATGCATCACTTATATGCCATGTAACACCATATTAAATGTACTGTGCTGACAGAAAGTCAGTACTTAATCATTGTAAATGATCATAACTCCATCTATTGCATGTGCTAAACACATGCACCGAACTGATCAATATATTATATACTATTGCATCAAAGGCTATTACCTTGAGACAATGGCTAGTCACGTGGCATAATTATGGGCACACAACCTTTCACAAGTGTGTGTGTGTGTATATATATATATATATATATATATATCACTAATCCTAGTCGGATCGCGCATATTTATATAAGCATTTATTTGTGCAAATATTTATTCATTGCCCATTGTTTCAGCTAATTATTTCACTTATGCAACGTGTGATTTACCACACAATTGAATAAATCATTTATTTGTAGTAGGCACATCGTACAATATTCTGCCTTGACAAATTGTGTCAATTCGATTTATTCATTATACAATCATACTTATGCTGTCATTTATTGTCAGGAATTATCGAGCAACCAGCTCTACTAATCAACATTGATCTCTTGCCTGACCAGACACCCACTTGCTCGGACATTCGCTTATTGGGACACCTATGTGCCCGGACCCAACTCGATTACCCTACAGATAGTCCCAACTTGATGCCCCTACGTATGGCCCCAATTCAAAGACCCGACTTGCGGACCTGATCCGCAAATCTGACATATAGACCCAATATGTGAACCCGACAAGCAGACCCGAGTCATGTCGAGAATCAACTCATACTGAGTGCATGTCGACATAAAGTAGATACTTGCAATAAGGAATACCACGAGCCGAGCCGCCTCGCAGTGAGCATAGCCTCTAGCCGAGCCGCCTCGCAATGAGCATCGCCTCCAGCCGAGCAAATGCCTCGCCGCGAGCATAGCCTCTAGCCGAGCAGCCTCGCAACGAGCATCGCCTCCAGCCGAGTAGTCTCGTAATTTTGTGATACCTTTAGCCGAGTATTGCTTTATGTTGAGCATTGCCTTAGGTTGAGTACTGGTTCAAGACATCTAGCCACTTCGGCCCGTACATGGATTGAATTTGAAGTCTCCAGCCAAAAGACTCTCTTGACTGAAGACTTGGGGGACTCCTGTTGGTACCATATATTTGGGCCTCGTATTTGGGCCTTGGGCTTCGTATTTGGGCCTCACACATTAAGCCCACGACAAATGTAAAAGAGGAGGAGCCCTTTATTCTATAAAAGGGGACTCCCCCTCATTCTAAAAGAAGTCTTAAGTCCTCATTTCTAAGGGCTAGAGCTGAAAACAAAGGCTAGAAGCCTTGAGAGAGAGTCCTCACACCACCGAGGCTCTCCTCTCCCTTCTCTTCTCTCTCTGGGGGACTTCCCCTCAAACACTTGTATCCATACAATTAAAGAGAAACAGAATCAATTACAGTGTGGACGTAGCCCAAACATTGTGATGAACCACGATAAAATCCTTGTGTTCTTTGTGTTCTTCGTGTTCTTGAGCGTTTGTGCAGATTCACGGTCGGATTTACGTTGTTCCAAGACCGCCCCGGTTTTGTGCATCAACATATTATATAATATCTAACAAAATATAATCAATGCACGACACTCAATTTTACAGACAAAATGACATGGTATAACAAATGTTCGAAACTGAGTAGAAAGGTTTTGATAAAAAAGAATTCGAGATAAAACCTTTTGAAAGCCCTATAGATTTCCTCACAAACAAAATTTGATCCATGCTAATTAACTATCAAATCTTTTACTGTTTTAGTGTCAAAACTTTCAATTTGAATTCAAGAGCAACAATCTTAGGCTCCGATACCACATGTAAGACTAAACTTATCAAAAGTAAAAGTTAAGAGATTAAGCTCATGAACCACAAATTTATACAAGTATTAAAATCACAATTCGATAAACACAATGACAAACTAACCCGTAAAAGCAGTATAAGAAGAAGCCAAAGCAGAATTCTAAATAGTGCACATTCTCCTCTCTTGCAAAACCCAAAGTACTCAAACTAACAATAGGTCTTAGTTCGATGTCAAGTGTACATTCTCTCTTGCAAAACCAAAAGTACTCAAACTAACAATAGATTTGATATCGAGTGTACGTTTTGTGAAAGCAGTGACCAATATTTATAAGAAATCAATCCTAATAATTCTCATATTAGAATCACCATAGGATCCAAACATATTAAAAGTACATCAGCAAAATAGACTTCCAGTTCCACAATGACTAGGATAATCTGAATTAAATCCTACAAGAATTGGGATAGTTTTAAGCTTTCTAACAAGACTTTTCTATGTCAATTGAAACACTATGACCGACCATAATAATCAATTGGGGTGTGATATCCACACACCATTTTTTACTCCTCTCACACCTTTTTGATTTTCGGCCGTCGGATAAGATGAATTGAAGAAGATCAATGGACAGAAATTAACAAGGGGTGTGTGAGAAGTAAAAAGGGGTGTGTGGATAACACATCCCTTTTCAATTTTATACTCATATTGTATTGACCTTTTTACCTGATATCTTGTATGTGAATTTCCCACTTTTCTATTAATAAAAAGGTATTTTTCTAGGTTTACATTTATAAATGAAATAATGGATGTGCAAAGACAAGAATTAGATGTTAACTGAACACCTAAACCTTGTTTAATTTTTTTTACCTTTCTTTTTCTTGAAGGAATCGTAAGTTTTAGCTAACAAGGCCCGCCATTGAACTCTCGTCTAAGAAGAAAATTCTTTAAGATAGATGATCAGTGAACTCAAACATGGCAGAAATTTAAAACAAAAAAATTGAAAATTGAAAATTGGAGATTTTATAGGTTTTTTGGTTGATATACCCGGCAAGTTGTCCAGCTCTCTCTTATAAATTAGGCACTGGCGCCAACACCTTTCTTTTATCTGCAATTGTTTTTTTCTGACTTTTGTCCCACGAGATGTCCATATCCTCTATCTTTTGTCCAAAATTCTAGATGCATGGGAATGGAGAACAATATGCATAAATTATTTCGATTATATTCGTCCTTTTGTTAAATGGCTTCTTTTTCAAGACGGCACACAACTTATATATAGATTATATAACTTTTGAAGGATTAATAGATGGTTACGAGAAATCTTAGGAGCAGTCGTGCATGAGCTCATTTAGAATGGACGGCAAGAATAATTAAGTCCCTAGGCGCCCTGTCACTTTTCATTTTCGATATATGCGCAACATTCATTGTCTATCCCAACAATTATACCAAAAACTTAAGGTTTAGGAGAAAGAGGCGAGAGAGAGATCAGAGATGAACATCTTGAGTTGCATACTACTAGGTCTAATGGTTGCATGGATCTCAATTTACACCATCTATTATTCACAAGAAAGAAGATCATCAATTACCAAAAGGCTTCCACCTGGACCAAACCCACTTCCCTTCATTGCAATCTCTTAGAGCTTGGCAACAAACCCCATCTCTCTCTCACTAAAGCTTTCACAACGCTATGGC